AACAAAAATAGGAGACAAACCCTAGAGACACGAACAAAAAGCGCTTATCAAATTTCCACAAACGATGACAATCAAACAAGGCAGTCGCTGTCCAAAGTCCACAGTTCGCAGTCACGAGTTCTCAGAGAAAGACAGAGAGATAGAGAGAGACATAGAGAGATAGGAGAAGAAAAGAGGGGAGGGGTAACAGAAGGATGCTAGCATCCTTCATACGAGCTTGTTGCTGCTGACGAAACGAGTTGATTGAGGTTTGGCCAGCCATCAGCTATTGAGTGAATGTAATCGCCAATAAAGTGCATAAAGCGCAATTGACAATAGCCAGGGAGAGCCAGAAGAGACGACTGCTAGTTGTGAGACAGGATATCGAAAGGATTCAATCAATGCACAAGCAAAAAGGCAAGCACACAGCTGCAGCAGATAACAGCAGCCAAAAGCAGACAAGATCATCCAACAACAAGGCACATAAATAATTCAATTGTCAACACGCTGAACGATGCAACATGCGATAATATTTTTTGCACCCTAGTCTGGCATCCTTTTCTCACCTCCCCTCCCCTCCTCTCCACTCCACTTCACCCGCCCACACAGGCAACATCAAGCTCTTTAGCAGTGAGTTCGCATTTGTTGCCATAAGTCGCCGGACGAGGCGAAAAACTTTTCTCAACACACAAAAGTTTATTGGGCGGGTCGCTGGGAAACTACGTGCATAATACAAAAGTAGCAACTTTATCGATTTACACAAAATGAGGCTCGTTGTTAGTTAGCAGCTGCTGAGCAGGACACTCAGGACATTCCAGTATCACCAGCATAGGGACAACACATGCTGGCAGGCCAGCCGAAGCCAAAAGGATTAATGATTCGGGCAGGGCAGCACAACCAATGAATTGACAGACAAGCATGTTGCGTGTTCGAAGGGATTTCAATTTTGATTCGAGGATATTTTAATCTCAAAAGACAACTGAGACTTGACATGCAAAGGGAACATTTTGATTATTGATAATTTTGACTTTCTGGTCAACAAAATTTATAATATTTTCAGTTAACCAGGGTTTCAGAAATTGTATATGCATTATTAGGACTAAGTGATGATAATCGAAGTATTCAGCATTGAAATTTTACATGAGAACTCTTTCCGTTTAGTTGGCCACTTTAATCTCTTGTCTATATTCCCACTATGCTCCACCTTGTCCATAGAAGATGACAATGGCACTCGAAGTTCTCTTGAAATAGTTTCACTTGCTCAAATTTGTTCTCTCTCTACTCTTTCTACTCAATTAAAGTCATTTGTTTTATGCCCGCTGCTCGTATAAGGCTCAAAGTGCTACCCACTCACTAATCCCAATAGCTCCGGTCATCCCAGTCTCTCATGCTCCTCCCCTTCTGTTCACTTGTCTCACATTTCTCGAGCATTTTTTATTGGCTTTCTTACACGCCACTTTGCCTTATTTTTTTATGGCTTGCCGCAGCAAAAACCTTAAATCCCCAACACCAACATGCCTCACACACAGCCTCCTCGAACATCTCAGCCCCTCCTCTCACATGCCATCCGCTCCCCCTCCTCTTTATCCATCGAGACGGTTTTTTATGATTTGTTTCGCTTGGTTTCGTTTCCATTGCTTTCGATTTTAAAGGCTTGTCCGTGTGTGTGTGTGTGTGTGTGTGTGTGTGTGTGTGTGCAACTCAGCCAGCCCCCTTTCACCAGCGCTGCACAAGCCCACGAGAGCCCATTCCTCGACCAGTCAACGCTAGGGCCATTTTTTATTGTTAGAAAATTGTTTTCTCTACCGAAGGAATGGAAAAAAAATTGATTTCTTGTCTTTATGGCAGTGTCCCTTCGCCAGCCGATGCTGTTGGCAAATTTAATATGTTATCCTTCGCAACAGTGCGTAGTGTAGTACAAGCCAGTGGCTGCTCATGCTGTTCCACATCTACTACTACTCGTTGTTGTTGTTGTTGTTGCTGTTGTCATTGGCCTGTTGTTGTTATTTGTTTGTGCAAAATATTGAATTTATGCCAAAGGATAAGGGATAACATCTTTGCCGTGTTGGCGCAAAATGAAGCAACTGTGTAAAATTGTCCAGCATGAGAAGTTCGAGTCCTTAACCTGAGGTCCTCCTGCCCGTCCTGCAAATCTTTTGTGGTTAACTTATATCAGCTTCGCATTTATTGTCTGTTTCGGTATCTGTATCTGTTTTTGTTGTCGTCGTCGTTGTTGTTGTTGTTGTTGTTGCTATTGTATTGGCAAACATGTGTTATGTGTTTATGTCTATTGTTGCCATTGCTGTTGTTGCTACTATTTTTCAAAGCTTTCTCTTGTCATGAACACACTCTTTCACGCACACACACACTTATATACGTATATATATTTATATATATATATATTATAGCACACCACAATTTATTTTGACCAAATTGAATTGCATTTAATTTGCTGCATTGCTTTTGCTTCACAAATTTGAAATACATAATAATTCAATTTGCTTGACAGCTCTCTCCACACAAAAGCTGAGTTATGAAATCGTATTTTTATTTTTGTGATAGATAGAATTTTTAATATCCTGTTTTATAATTGCTGATGAACAGACAGACGATATCGGCTTGTGGATGTGAGGGAAGGGTATTGACTAGTCGAGCATTCATTTATCACGAATATTTGTAGCACTTGTCATGCTTGTTGCATAAACTGAAAAGTGTCACAATTTTATTTTTGTCTTTCGAAATTGCATAAAATATGTATTTTAAATAAATGCCTGTTGTTGTTGGCTTCCATCACGTATTAAATGAGTTAGCACATTTTGGTTGCTTACCTGCAAAGAAATTGAAAATAAAATCATTATTATAATAAATTGTTGAAGTTGTTTAACCAATAAGTTAAATATACTGCAATTTCATATAGCACTGGCAGTTTTAATTTGAAAATTTTGTAACACCTGCGAATATTTGCATTACCTGTTTTAAGGTCAGCTCTTGTGGATTTAATTAAATGACCAAAAGCCGCACTATTTGAGGAATTGTATACACAAAGGTATGCAACAAGAACAACAACAGTATGAAAAACAACAACATCGTAGAATAATTTAATGAATTCAATCCATGCAAAGCTATTCTTTGATTGTTTGTCAGTTAAATTGACAATCGAAAAGCAAAAGGTATTGCAAATATTTATGTCTACAACAATCGAAAGCTGTTAATCAAGTCAAGAATGTTGTTTGAATTTATCTATTAATATTAGACTGAAATTGTTGCGCTTTATTTTTGAATTTATTTTTGTGTTTTTTTTTGTTTCAGTTGAAGTTGCACAATGCACTTTTTAGTTGGCTTCGAATGGAGAGAGGTTGGTGTGGAAACGGGTTTGCTGCACGGTCAAAGAACTCATGTGAAAACCCAAAGGGCAACACTGCAACAAAAAAAAAAAAAAACATCGGCAAATGATGAGCAGTGCACCAAAAATATGCTAAAAATGCATTTAGAAATTAATGAAAGAAGAATGAGATACCCAGTGTCAAGCTTTAATGTATTGTCTCAAAAAATAAATTAATAATTTAAAAAATAAAAAATTGTTTCTATTTAGATTAATGTGTACACATTGAAAAGTCAAATATTTGAATGTGGACACATTTTTTGGGTTTGCGATTTCATTTCAGATAATTTGTTCAGGCAATTTGAACAGCGTTATAATGCCCATTGTACAGGGCAAACGAGCGAACGTATTTTAAATTTGCACTTCTGTGCAGACAAAAGCAGATTGAAACAAAAATTCTAACCAAAATAAAGGCAGCAATTTAAAATATATGAAAAGCACACACATTCACACACAGAGAGAGACACACACACACAGAGACACAGAAACAGAGACACAATGCGAGCTTACGTTGGCAGAAATACATAAAAAATAATATCATGAATGCAATGACTTTTAATGTACAGTTATTGCGCAGCTGTCTGATGTGTGCTGTGCCAACCCCGACCATTCCATTTCTATAAGTGTGTGGCTATAACAATATATATATGTATATGTATATGTTTATATCGCTGCGAGTGTATTTTTAATATTGCATACTTTTTGGCGTTGCTTACAGCACCAACACTGACTGCAAAGACTAAAGTAACATAAACGAAGCGGACTTTTAAGCGGCGAGCGCATTGCATGCACGTACTTTTGCGTACATTTCTCCACTCTTCTTTTTTTTTTCTTCCTATTTTATTTTTTTGCTGGTAAGCTTCGTCACTAGCTGGCAGGCGGGGATGATGTTGAAATGGGGGACAGAGGACAGCATCGTTTGGCACGACTGTTGCCCGTTGCACATACTAATAAGGCTAAGTGGCAATGACAAGCACAACTGCAACAGACACAAACATTTGATACACACACACACAACACACACAACACACACAACACACACACACACATACACACACGTTTATATGTGGCGAGCCCCTCCCATTTCTTTTGCTGCCTGCCTCAAATGTCGCGTCCTTCGCGGCGCATTTTACGCTTCCTTCGCTTAGCGCTTGCGACAGAATGTCAGCTCCTGCAACTTTCCCCCTGGCAAACAGAAATTTCATGACTGTTGATGACCTCATAAGCATGCGTGTTTATTTCCTTTGTTGTCGCGTGTACAAAGTCCACCATTTTTTTTTTTTTTTCGTTTTTGGTGATTTTCGGGGTCATTTTATATTTGTAATGCCGCACGAATTTGCACAATTTGATATTTGGAATGTTTACAGGCATATCGCTTTCGAATTTATTTACATATCTTATACATTTTATGAAACTAGACGAATGCATTTTTGTTTGTACTGAACGCATAAACACTTTTAAAATAAATAGTAAAATCTTTAAGCTTTTTGTTTTTTTTTTTATTTTCTTTGTACCATATTTTCTTGATATTTATATTAGGCAAAAACGAAAATTAAATGAAATAATAGTAACAAACAGAGTAAGCTATTGAATTGGGCTGTCAGATATTCGAATCTAGAAAATTTGGATATTTAGCTCTCAATCAGACTTTAAATCGGTTTTCTAAACAGCACATTGTGAATACAAACTACATGTAAGCAGCATATTCATTTATAAATACTAACAGATGTATACAAATATTTATATTTATATTTATAGCAAAATGTCCTTGTCGGATGGTTCGTGGATCGATTGGTTTGTTGGCCAACAGGCTAATGAGTTTCTGTGCCGCGTGCCCGACGAATACGCCCGTGACAGATTCAATTTGACGGGTCTGGAGACATTGGTGCCAGATTATTATGATACACTCGATGCAATACTGGATTCGGAGTTCGATACTGAATATGGCTTCGAGGTCAATAACTCGTTCATCGATCCTGAGAATGTCGAACAGCTTTATGGGATGATCCATGCACGCTATATTCTGAGCCAACGGGGCATTGCGGACATGTGCGTTAAATATAAACGCGGAGATTTTGGGGTCTGTCCGCGGATCCATTGCGATGGTCAGTTGGTGCTGCCTGTGGGTCTGACTGATCGCGTTGGCGAGTCCCATGTCAAGGTTTATTGTGCTCGCTGCCAGGACATTTATCAACCGAATGCTCAATGCGCCCTCGATGGCGCCATGTTTGGACGCAGTTTTCCGCACATGTTCTTCATGCAGCAGCCCAAACTGTTGCCAGAGCCACCAATCGAGAAGTACTCTCCACGGTCAGTCTAGCAATCGATTTATATATTACTATTGAATTATATTATCACCCTCGATGTAGCATTTATGGCTTTAAGGTGCACAAGGCGGCGTTGCTGGCACCATCAGCTGAACCAGCGACAACCAGTAAGGAGAGCTGCAACAAAACAGCGCCCAATCGTTCACCCAGTTCACATTATCATTTCTCAATTGATTAGTTTAACGTAACAAACATTTACACGTAATCTGGCAATGGCAACGTCAATGTCAACAGAACAGAAGAAGGATATTAGAGTTCAATAAGGTTAACACATTGCCATATTCAGGAATTTTGTTGGGACATCTGACTTTTGCATACACAGTAAATTTCATTTGAGACAATAAAGCAAGCTTTATGCAGAACGGTTGAAAATTAACTCAAAGTTCACAATTTTGGGGGTTTCTTTATGTTTATGGTTTACTCCATTTGTTGCTTCTTGTTGGCTTACAAGTTGGAACAGTTTAGCAAGTTCCATCAATGTCAAAGTGATTGTAAGTTGGCGTTGTCATTTCTCTTGCTATTTATAGGCAGCTGTCAAATTGCAAATTGATGCCTGGCACTCGGTAACTATCCCATGTATGTATGTGTCTGAGACGCCATAATGCTTCAAAACTTGCAACATTTTCGTTTTCTTTTTTTGCTTTTTTGCTTTTATAATTTTTTCTGTGCAAAAAGAGATGCGCGTAGTTTGCGTTGGCTGCTTGTCAAGCCATAAAATGTTATCACAAAAAGTATTTTCCAAGTCAGTGCACACACAAAAGTAGCAGGGACGCACAGAAAATGAGAGAGTGAGAGAGAGAGAGACAGAGGGGAGGTGACAGAGACAGAGACAGAGACAGACAGGGAGATGGTGGCTGGCAGCAAGCTTCAAAGCAAAAAGTTGTACACACACGGTGAAAGTTACAAATAGAGTTGCCATAAAATTTCATATGCTTATCACGTGCGTTTTTGGCAACACACCAACACACACACCCCACACACACCACACACTCTACATACACTTGCAGATTCACTCTCCCTGCCGACAGATGGCGCCATAGCAAAAAAGAAGAAAAGTATAAAGTAAAAAGCAATGTATTATTGTTGTTTTTGGCAGACTGTACTCAATGCTAAAAACTTGGGCGCTCAAAAGCTGTGCATGTGTTCCGTATTGTTGTTGTTGCGGTTGTTGTCAGCATTTTCACACGTCACACACACACACACACACACACACACATGCCATCCGTTATGCGCCAAGCTTAACTGTACCGAGGGCGCGAGTGCACAAAAATATTTCGTTTATTTGAAGTTGTTTGTAGCTTGTTGCTGGTTGCTGTTATTGGTCGATACATGTCCATTTTATTGTCATATTTATCAACAATCACGCAAAGTGGAAAAACAAAAAAAAAAAAAGTGGCAAGGGGAAATATTGTAATCTTTTTTTTGGCTGCATGTCGCTGACATTGACGCATTTTTGTGCCATGCCAAAATGTACGCTAAAAACAAAAGGAAACACTAACAACAACCACAAGAATGGCGACAAAAGATATGTCAAAATGCCTAGCGCGTATTTGGAATTGGCTTTTTGTTTATCTCTTTTTGTTGGTTGTTGTGTAGATATTTTGTTGCCGTGCCGTTGCTGTTATTGTTGTTGTTGTATCTCTACTGACAGCGCGAATGCATTCTGAAAATGGGAAAATATGTGTGCAATGTATTTGTCTGTGCTATTGTTGTGTGGTCTAGAGTTGACATATTGCACAGATACGATAAGAGAGTCTCTGTGAAAGTCTCTGTGAAGCTTGAGGGCGAAACACAAAAGCCACAAACAAGAATTGCGGCATTATCCACTTACCTCCCAACCACACACACAAAAAAAAACTCATTCACTTTCTCTGGATGGAAAATATTGGGTACTTTTGGAAAAAACTCTGTCTGATCCGTATATTTTGCTTAGAGCTCTACATTTCAAAATAATACCGGTATATTTGTATACATTTTATTTTTTCCCCTTTTACCTTCGATAGCTTAAAAAACCATTCTATAAATTTCAAACTAAATCTGTGTCTAAAACATAATAAAAATGCATAAAACACTATACAAAAAATAGACTAAGAGATAGAATACTAAAAAACCAGTGAAGCAAAACTCAATTAAAATAGACAAAACCAATGTGCAAATGTAAAAAAAAGAAGCTTTTTCGCTAGCCACATTTTGCATTTGGCTGATAAGCCTAAAAGTCGAATACGGTGGGTAAAAAAAATATATGCAGACAAATTAACGTGCGAATTTTTGGCATTGAAAGTGCCGTTTGAAAGTCTGGGGCCAAAAATACAGAAAAAAAAAAACTATGACTAAACAAACACAGGCAAACAGACAGACTGAGAGGCAGACGGACAGACGGGCACATGGACGGAACGACAGCCAGTGGCCGCATCTGGCAGATTGCAATATGAGAGTGTGGCATACATTTTGGCGCTGCACAAAACTTTTGTTTTAGTGGGAACAGGAATGAGCAGGAGGCAGGTTGAGGAGGGCAGGTTGAGGGGGTGGTTGGATTGTGGGCGCTCGTTTGGGCCAAAAGTTAAGCATTTGTGTTTAACACATGTGACCCAGAAAAATGGCAGATCGGGGCGCCATCTGTAAATTGCCATTTTTGCTGGGCTTATTATGAACTCATTTCGTCCGTCTGTCTGTCTGGCAATCGCCTAATGCTATGCAATAAACTGTGCTGTGGCCTGGCACAGAAACACAATTAAATTTCGTTACGAGTATGAGTCGAAAATATACATACTACGTACTACGTACGTACCATATGAGATATTCTATAAACATAATAAATGGCTTACATTTATTGGCATAGCGTTGCTATTCGAACAAATTATGCAGGCAGCAAAACAGCAAAACATGAAAATTTGATTTTCATGTAAATTTTATGCAACGCATTTTCGTTTTTTGCTCATTTTGCTTCTTTTTTTTTATTCATTTTTATATGCAGCCACAAAAAGTAGGAAAAGTTGCTGGTAAGAAACAAACTGCCCAACCAGGTGCTATAGAGGGAAGCTTCTAACGGCCGCCAGCTGTGGTCCCGAGACTACAGACTACAGATTGACTGACCCTTAATCTGCATAATTTGCGCAGACAGCAGGCGGAAAGGCAGTAGCAGCAGCAGCAGCAGCAGCAGCAAAAAAAAAAAAAGAAAACGGGGAGGCAAAGTCCAGTTCAGCCCCGCTCTGGCATTATAAATAGTCCAAAGATATTTATTTGTAATGAGACTTGAGTTTAGGGAGGAAGTTTCAACAGTAAGTTAATGTATTGCCTGGTCATTGGCCAAACCCGGAAGGGTAGTTAAGAAACTGAAGCTGTAAGGACTCTTTGTTCGATTAGAAGTCTCTGTGTTTCGGTTTATTTTGCAACATCTGTTGAGGGTCGAATTTTGGCGCAAAGTTCAGCCTAATAACGATGACCGACCACTGAGTTATGTTAATGATAGACCCAAAAAAACCAAAAACCAAATAAGAAAGACAAACTTGATTAAAAACTAAAAACCAACTTATGGTGTAGTACACTTATTCGACTTGGCATGACCAATGATGATGATGATTATGCGGCCCCACAAAACTGACATTTACCATGGTCTATTTTGGGTATTGGGGTTCATTCAACCAGCACAGCACAGCTGGCTTTACATACATATATATTTGTATAGTTGACCACAACAAACACTTTATTATTTAATGAATTTGTGAGACTGACCCGCCATTTACTATTTCCACTTAATTGAATTTATGACTCAAGTGTCGACAATTTATTATTAAATGACCAAATATGACAAATGATTGGAAGCCCGTGCGATTAATGGACGCTATATATAGAGTTTTGTGTGGCTTGAAGAAAGCTGAACTTTCACTTGATGGCATTTTATTAATATTGTTTTCTTAGTTATTTATTGGCAGCAACTTGGCGTAGTAAATAAATTAAGGAATTTAATAGAATGGGAATAGGAAGACAGACAGGTGAGTAAAAAAGTCAAATGAATGATTATAAAGAACTGGTAAATAATCTATTAAATATGTGACTTGAAATAAATTGACTAGAATCCTTAGACTTTTCTGCCATTATCACTATTAATATGATTGCCACTTTACAAACTCTTAAATGTTTGCATTGATTACAAAGGAAATAAACTCATCATCAGGTAAATTTCGCAATGTTTGCCTTGAAATTAACTGACAGTCAAATACATTGTCTATGCACAACATCGCTTGTCTCTCTTCTATTTATACTTGCTATTAGAATTATCCTGGCTGTGGCTCCTGCTGTTTTTATTTTGTTACCCCCGCTCCTCGCACCCATTAAGCAGTTGTCTATAAGTCCCAGACGCCATTTATTGCGCCTTTGCCTCGGCTTTAGTTAGTCATGTGCAAGTGAAATGAATTTGTCATGAGCTTCTCAGCTGTTATTGTCGCTGGCAAAACCTAAGAACAGACATTGCCCACAATCAAATAAACCACCCAGCCATTTAGAAAGCATTTCTATATAGTCGAAGTAATGCCAATAAATATATATACATATACATACATATATATATGTATATGTGTGTGGAATGGCGAAATTATATCGATTGACCCGCGCCTATTTTGATGAGGTTGGGGATCAGGTGGACAGTAGACGACTGCTCCGGAGCTGGCAGAAGTACCTTTTCCACTCCCCGTCCAGCTCTGCTCCTTCTGTGTGTTTCTGGCTGTCACTGGCAGAGGCAACCGAAAGTTTGATTGGCATTGGGAGGCACAGCGGGTGTTCGATTTTATTGTCGCAATGAAACATTGCAATGTGTACGCTAGAGGGCGCTGCTAATAAGGACTACCAGTCGCATACGGTTCAATTTTTTTTTATTTTTATTTATTTATTTTTTTTATTTTTTTTTTGCTCTACAGCTTGGCAGCTAAACTTGACAGGTGTTTGCTGCGGGGCGTGACTGAGCGCAGGACTTCCGTTTGCCAATTTTAAGTGGTTTAAAATACAGTCGGACTGCTTAATTATGCAGGGCACAGGGCAGCCGGCAGAAAGCACAAGGCACAAAACTGAAGGCTGAACGCAGAGAGAGAGAGAGAGAGAGAGAGTGAGAAGGCTTGAGGCTTAAACCGAATGGGCACTGCTCGAATGTCCGAAATCTGCAGGAAGCAATTACGTGGGCGGTGGTCTGAAAAGGGTCTGAAATCGGATAGTGGTTGGAATATGCGTGGGGAGACTCTATGCACGAGGGGTGCGAGTGAAGTGACTCATGCAATTTACACGCCCAGAAACATTTGACCGGGTGTTGATGACGTCAGCTTAGCGCCTGACACCGAATTTGGGGTTGGAGTTGGAGATTTGGAGGGTATTGGCCTAGGAGTTAAG